AAGCTAAGTTAAGGCAGTGGCTTTCAAATTTTGTAAAGAAACATGAATCCCATATATAAGATGACACACACATATAAACCCATAGACACAGAAACTTTTATTACAAAATATTTATCTCTAAACTCGAGATGTGCCCCCCTGACATATACAATTTAAAAAAAAGAAAGAAAAACAAACTGATTCTGACTTAGTTGCTTTTATTACCCACTAATGGTTTGTGACCTACAGTTTGACAACAATGCTAACCAGCCATTCCCTTCTTCATCAAGTAAAAAGGTACATATCATATTATGTTAATTCATTTTCATATGCTTTCCCAGAACTTACTGTCTTGTTCTTGACTCAAATAACAGTCAGTTTGGGGACATTTAAATAAATCTCATATAAGACATTGTATACTGTATCATTCAAAGTCATTCCCATGTAAGTCCTTAATTATGAATTTCTCTTAGTTTTTAGTGAATATTTTCAGATTAGGAAGTCTCTGTAAACCAAGTTATTTCCCATTTTGCCTTGGGTATAGAGAAACATACTTAAATTCCATGTTCAACTGCAGCAAATATCTCTGTTTATCTCCCTTCATAATACCCCGTTCTCCACAAGGCTTTTATTCACCCTTTATCCTCTTTTTTTTGTCTAATAAAATGGTTATATCTTAGAAGATGTACTGGTTAAGTGTATATGTATCAGAGTCAAACTGCAGAGTTTGTGATGTTAGGCAAATTATTAACCTCTTTGTATCATAGTTTCCTTATGTTATCAGTAAAATGATAATCATAACCATAATAATATCCACAGTTATAGATTTTTTTGAAAGGTAAATAAAATGATACTTTTAAGTACTTAGAGCAATGCTTAGCCTATATTAAGAGGACAATAAGTAAAATTTTAGGAGCAAATATAAAATTAGTTAAGGATTCCTTTATTTCTCAATCTCAGGGACCAGGAAACTCCCGTAAATTTAATGTCATCCGAAGTGAATATGTAAATGTGTTTCTGCATCTTATTCCATAAGATCACTCCTTTGTGATATGTATGAGTTTGTTTTCCCACTAGTATGCAAGAAACTTGAGGGTCAAGGGCTGTCTTATCAATCTTTGAATTCGCCCATCTCTTCATTCAGCACCTTCCTAGCATAGGTGTTTCATAAATGTTTAATGAAATGCATTAAACAGGACTTTTCAGTATTAATGAAGTAAGAAAGTTCTCAGTAGAAAGGAGTAAAAATCCACAGAGTTTGATGAAAACACGGAGTTTGATTTTCAGAACATTAGATGAGGACTTGAGAGGCCAAAGCAGAATGCCCAGCTTTCCTGTCAGTGGTGGCTCAGAACGTGGGCATTGTTAGTAAATTTGGATGTCAAATCCTGTCTCCGTTACTTCGTAGAAAACTTGGGCAAGTTATGTAACCTCTTTAAACTTCAGATCCCTCAGCTCTAGAACAGGATAATTGATATGTTGTGAATTTAAAGTACTTTGCACAGTGTCTGATATATGGAAAGCAGATGTATTAAGTTTTCTTCTGCCGTATCACAGTTCACCACAAATTTTTAAAATTAATTTAATTGGAGGCTAGTTACTTTACAATATTGTAGTGGTTTTGCCATACATTGACATGAATCAGCCATGGCTGTACGTGAGTCCCCCATCCTGAACCCCCCTCCCACCTCCCTCCCCATCCCATCCCTCAAAGCCGGTCCCAGAGCACTGGCTTTGAGTGCCCTGTTTCACGCGTCGAACTTGGACGGGTCATCTGTTTCACATATGGTAATATACATGTTTCAGTGCTATTCTCGCAAATCATCCCACACTCGCCTTCTCCCACAGAGTCCAAAAGTCTGTTCTTTATATCTGTGTCTCTTTTGCTGTCTTGCACATAGGGTCATCATTACCATCTTTCTAAATCCCATCTATATGTGTTAATATGCTGTGTTGGTGTTTTTCTTTCTGACTTACTTCACTCTGTATAATAGGCTCCAGTTTCAATCACCTCATTAGAACTGATTCAAATGTGTTGTTTTTAATAGCTGAGTAATATTCCATTGTGTATATGTACCACAGCTTTCTTATCCAGTCATCTGCTGATGGGCATCTAGGTTGCTTCCATGTCCTGGCCATTATAAACAGTGCTGCGATGAACATGGGGTACATGTGTCTTTTCCACTTCTGGTTTCCTCGGTGTGTATGCCCAGAAGTGGGATTGCTGGGTCATATGGCAGCTCTCTTTCCACAATTCACCACAAATTTAACAGCTTAAAAAGGGCACAAACTTCTCTCAGAGCTATCATGAATCATCTTAATGGGGCCCTCTGATTATAGTTGCATCGAGAGGTTAAAAATCAAGATATAAGCCAGGTGTGCCCTCATCTAGAGCTCTGACTAGGGGCAGATGTGTTTCCAGGCTTGCTCAGCTCATTTTCACACTAGCTCTCAACAACTAGAAGGCACTGGCAGGTCCTGTCCCAGGGCTCCCTGTATAGGCCCTCTTGCTTTGTGAATCTTTTGATCTCTTCCTTCAGGAAAAGCCCTACTCCCTTTAACCAGGGGTCCCCAAACTGGTCCATGGTCTGTTAGGAACCGGGCCACACAGCAGGAGGTGTGTGATGGGGGAAACCCAAACCATTCCCCCCCCTCCCCCAATGGAAAAATTGTCTTCAGTAAACCTGGTCCCTGGTGCCCAAACAGTTGAGTACCACTGTCTTTAACTGTTCACTTTATCAGGTCAGGCCCACCTAGGGTAACCTCCCTTTTGATGAACTCAAAGTTAGCTGATAAATAATAATCAATACTAATCCAAACATGGGGGTGATATTCCACCATATTCATAGGCCTGGCTCTATAATTCATAGAGCTAGGGAATTGTACAAGGGTTTGAGTTACAGAGGGTAGGATTCTTAGGGGCCATCTTAGAATTCTGCCTAACAAGAGGTAATTTCAGATCCTCTCTGAACAAGCATTTAAGTTTTGGGAACCTGGTGACTAAAGAAAAGAGAGTCACAATTCATTCCATATTCAGTGAGTGTGTGCATGGCAGTGAGTATAAGATGAGATTCATGGCTGACGTACCCTCACTGTGTGCCTCTGTTGCTATGAGCATCATCTGACTCTGAGTATGATCATACTCAGAGGAATGCTGGGCAGAGTAAATATTGAATAAGTATCTGTAAAAAGAATGAATGAGTGCATAAAAATATACTAAGGAGAGTAATAGTTTGAGGAAGGTTAAACTGGTGGAAAAATAATATTGGTCTAGTCCATAAAACAGAGAAGGCAGTGGCACCCCACTCCAGTACTCTTGCCTGGGAAATCCCACGGATGGAGGAGCCTGGTGGGCTGCAGTCCATGGGGTCGGTAAGAGTCGGACACAGCTGAAGTACTTCACTTTCCCTTTTCACTTTCATGCATTGGAGAAGGAAATGGCAACCCACTCCAGTGTTCTCGCCTGGAGAATCCCAGGGACGGGGGAGCCTGGTGGGCTGCCGTCTCTGGGGTTGCACAGAGTCAGACACGACTGATGCAACTTAGCAGCAGCAGCAGCAGTTCATAAAATACTGAACAATAAAGATCTGAGATAAGCTCACGTAGTCATAGGATCAGGGTTAGATTATATCATAAAATTGGGACTTCAAAGGGAGGGATGGATGGGAAGGACGAATAGAATTTCAAGACTAATTAGACATGGGGGGAAGAAAGATAGGGGAATTAAAAATGGTATTTTTTAAAATGATAATATTTTACAGTTTTCCGACATATGAAAGTTGCCCGGTCGTGTCCGACTCTTTGTGACTCCATGGACTGTGTCCATGGAATTCTCCAGGCCAGAATACTGGAGTAGGTAACTGTTCCCTTCTCCAGAGGATCTTTGCAACCCAGGTATGTGAACCCAGGTCTCCCGCATTGCAGGCGGATTCTTTACAAGCTGAGCCACAAGAAAAGCCCAAGAATACTGGAGTGGGTAGCCTATCCTTTCTCCAGCGGATCTTCCCAACCCAGGAATTGAACCAGGGTCTCCTGCATTGGAGGTGGATTCTTTACCAACTGAGCTATCAGGGAAGCTCCTATATATAAAATGAGGCAAATAAAAATATATACTTCAAATATTCTCTTATTTCTATTGTTAGTGCCTAACACAATGCTTGAATGATGGTTGATTTTCAATAAATAGTTGGTATTTAAATATTGTTATTTTCATGATTAATAGTCTTTAATTCATGACCCCCCAATTCAAAATGCTCCGAAAAAAATATTTTTCATAATTTGTTCAGTGACCTGGCCTGAAGTCTTTTAGGAGCAAAACTTTACCTGAACTGAGAAGTTATTTGTATCTTTATTTACCATGTAAATAACCATATTTTTGCTCCCTAAATATTCATATATTTATGGTGAGAACAGACACTTGGTTCAACCTTATAACCCAGCTTTTCCTGTTTCCCTGACTCAGCTCCTCAGCAGATGTGTAAATATGACAGTAGCCTTCGTATTGTTACCTAGTTCAATCAAAGAGCTACCAACAGATACTCCTGGAAGCCTTAAACAATATATAGCATATGTAACACATTACTCTCCTAATAACTGAAAATATCTAATTTAAAATTATATCCAGTTCAAGGATTTTGGGTATAGAAGAGTGAATGTGTACTTTTGTTGATGGAAACAGAAAAATAGAGAAAGCTACTTTGAGGGAGAAAAAGAATTGCTTTAAATATGTTGGGCTTAATTTGTTTTGTTTCGTTTTTCACGTCTAAGTGAAACTATTTTCCAGGCAATTGGATATACCTGATTGGGATTTCAGCCAAACAAGTGGGAGTTATATATATATAAGTGAAATTTTAAGCCATGGGAAGGATGAAATCTCCTAGAAAGGTTTTGGGGAGGATGGGGAAAAGCAGCGGATTATTGATACTTGGAATATGCACACAATACACGTAATGAAAAGCCCCGGTGGAGCAATCACAGTGGAGATGGTCAGTCAGGGCTGAAGTCAGTGGGAATAGTTTGAGATGGAAGAGAAGCAGGACAGTTCAAGAGCTGTCAAGGAAAGACTTAATTTTAAGAAGGTGCAATTGATCACCAGAGTCACGAGCTACAAAAAGATCAGAGAAAAGGAGAACAGAACAACAAATATTGGATTTGGTAATCTGGTGAGTTCAAAGATGATGACTGTGTAAACTGAGTGGCCAGCAGGGAGGAAGCAGAAACCTTGTGGATTTAAGGGGGAATGGCAGTGGCCATACCTGGATTTTACTACCTCTTGATTGTGCTCATTCCCAGCTTTATAGGAACACAGAATTCAAAGAATCAGAGAATGTCGTAGCTAAATCTGAGCATATATTCTATCCCTCTTGCTTTGCAGGTAAGGATGCCGATATTTTTAAAGTGATAAGGCTTATCACTTCAGATAAAAGTTCTGATAATGGTTGCAGAGTTAAGACTAGAACATGAGTACTGAGACTCCCAGTTTAGTGCTGGGTCTGCTGGGCCTTAGTATCCAAGCAGGATCAAGCAGCACCTAAGGGTGCTGTTTGAATGACACCTTTAGTCCTTGAGCCCACAGAGTCGTGCAACCCACTTAATACAGAAGGTATTCCTCCATCAAGCAGCTCAAGTATAAAAAAAGCAGTATCTCTTACATACATGTTCATGTCCTTTTGTTATAAAGCATTTTCTTTACACTAATTTGCCTCTCACACAATTAGTATTTTATGAGAAATTGAAAATCTTAACACTTGGATATATTATCGCTTTCAGTGAGCCCAATGAACTTTCCTTTGCATCAGTATCCATTACAGAAGATTAGTCACGCTGTTCTTAAATTTTGAGTAGTTTCATTTTTCTTAGGCTTAATGTCTGTAACTTGCAGAATTCCAAACGTTTAAGAGGTTTAAGGGGAAGGACCACCATCGGAGAGTAAGCTCCTTCAAGGCCGGGACTTTATCTTACCTTTTCTTTCTGACACCCTGGAACAATGTCTGGAGCAGAGTTTTGTTGCCAACACTTAGAAGTCAGTCCTTCTGCGCCATGTTGCGTGAGCCCATCAATAACTGAAGGAGACAAGTGGGTTCAGAAGGAAAGGAATGGAAACTCACGAACACCTGCTGTAGATTACGCGCAGCGCACGCTCTCCCCACGTGCCTTGGGCGGGGCTGCTGTAGGGATCTCCCCGGGTCTCCAGCAGGTGGGGCAGGGCTCTCGCGTGAGCTCCGCTGCGCAGCTCACGCCCCAGACGGCAGCGCCGTGTGCAGCGTCTCTCTACACGCGTGCCGCCATCTTCTTGAGATGCGCATCCTGCATGGCTTTTGTGGACACAATACCAGGGGCTGAGGGGTTGACACGGCCCTTTCGAACAAGGAACGCTGGTGTCAAGGGCTTGGTGGGAGGCTTCTGCTGCCGCACTCTAGGAGCAAGTGAAACGAGGAAGCACCAAGGAGAAAAAGGTTAGATTTATTTCCTTACCCAACTTCTATGTTTATTGCCCGGGAATTGTCAGTGGGCTTTGCCCGTGACAGTATGTGTTCAATAAATGTAAATGGGTAAAGGAATGAACAAATGCAATATTCAGTATACCTCATCCAGGAACAGTGATGAGAAAAGGTATTTATCTTTGGCTCAACCTTCTGACCTAATGTGGGCCTGTTTTTCTGACTCAACTCCGATAGAAATAGTCCTCAGCATATTTGTAAATCAAGTGGTAGCCTGCAATCAAAGGAATAAATTCGAATTCTCTCTCAGAAATATCCTTAGCAGATTTTACTCCGTGGTCGCCAGTAGTAACCTCAAATAAAGATTTGGGACTTGGGAAGGAGGTCATGGGGCTGGTGGTGGAATGCATTGATCCTGGCCTCTAATATGGTTATAATTTTCTTTTGCTACCCTGTTATATGTTTCTTTGTCTCCTTTGGACTTTTTTGTTTCTTCTAAAATGTAACCTAGAGGGCAAAAGGATATACCAGAAAGTCCAGTTTTACTTGGAAAGTCTCTGTTGAAAATGGCTTATCAATACTTAGCACTTTTTCAGATAGACTGCACAAACATGCCTTATTTCAAGAAATGTGCAAAGTACTAATCATATTTTCCGTCCTGTGCTATAAGAATTTTTTCTTTCTTCCCTGAATATGATATGTTGTCAACCCATAGCATTCTAATGTCACATATTTCTAGCACAGCGAGATTAAAATACCTCAAAGGCCTAATGACTCCCACATGTCTCACCAAAAGCCCGATATTGCTAAGCAAAGGCCCATGCTTTGCTAGGGAACCATGCATTATGCTGGCAGGCCGCCTCACTGGTGAGTTACCTTGGAAGAAAAGCCTTGACAACAGTGGAACACTTTTTTTTCTCCTTAAAACCCTTTATTTGCTCACCACCCCAGCGCCTAAGTAAACCTGTATTTCTAAAACAGCAATCACAAAGTACCTAGCTATTTCTAGATAAATTAGCTTAAATAACTACATTGGTGAAAATATATCTTCCTGACTTCTCTGCCAGTCTACTCTGAGGATGCTCTGACTTAATTCCTATCTTTAACAAGACCAAGAACACAGTCTTTTGCATCTCCGTGGGCAAAGTATTTACATATTCAGGAATCAGCTTGGCAAACCAGAGCTAAGCGTGTGGGGAAGAAATATTGTCTTCGTTTTTTTCCCCTCCACTGTCTGCCCCCCAACTTCAAAGTTGAGAATTTAATTCTTGAATATGATAAGAGCCAAAAGTTGCCAAAGGGAAGATGACAATGGGGAGACAATGTCTATCAAAAACTTGTGTTGATCAACGAGGCCTCTCGTTGAGCACCCGTGGGCTCCCATGGTCTTGACAGGTGTTTCCCTTCTTCCCCTTTCCATCCCCTGGACTGGCTTCCTTGGGCCCGACAGGGGCAGAGGCAAGCAGTCCTCAGCTCTGTATCCTGATTTAAAATGCACGGTGGGTAGAAATTAAAATGAGTTCTTTTTAAAGCAAAAATGTCACCATTCTCTTTCAGAGATGAAAATTTGAGCAGTGACTCTCAAGAGGAAAGATTGGTGTCAAAATAGGAGGCGGTGCTTAGTGAGCTTGTGATTTATGTGTAGGAATATATAATTTTTTGACAAAAAGCAAGATGAGGTTGCACTTGTATTTATTTGGCAAACTAATATTGACTTCTTTTACTTTCAAGCCATTGGCATGCATTTTTGTATGTCATGTACCCTTATTTAATACCACACAGCAAGGACATGTGTGTTCCTGAACAAAGTTAGGGCAGGTGCTCATCTACTGCAGGAAGTCTCCAAGGATTCCCTGGGATGAGGGCTGCCCCTCCATGTTGTTATGCATATTCGATGCCATTCATTTTGTTCCTAGAGGCCTGATTTCTTTAGCTGTGTCTCTCCCTCTTGACTTTTTTTAAACAAATTTAATTAATTTTTTTTCTTTTGACTCTCCTGAGTCTTCATTGCTATGCATGGGGCTTTCTCTAGTTGCAGTGCGTGGGCTTTCCCTTGCGGTGGTTTCTCTTGTTGTGGAACACAGGCTCCAGGGCGCGTGGGCTTCACTAGTTGCAGCACATGGCTCTAGAGTGTTGACTTAGTAGTTGGGGCTCACCAGCTTAATTGCCTTGCTGCATGTGGAATCTTCCCAGAGCAGGGATCGAATCTGTGTCCCCGGCATTGGCAAGTGGATTCTTAACCACTGTTCTACCAGGGAAGTTCTCCCTCTTGTCTGTTAATGCTACAAACAGTAATCTTTACCTCTGAAAAGTGGAAAAGTTGATATAAGGATGACTAATCTTTAGAAATTCCTTAGAAATATATATTCAAGCTCTCTCTCTTTTCCCATTATGGCATGCTATTTTAGCAAACTGCTTGTTACAAATAGGAATTCTGAATCACATGGTCTGCCTTTGTTAACTGATAATCATGAGTATGATAGCATATGAAAATTTTCGATGGAGTATTAAGGACTAGTTTTATTCTGATTGCTTGTCAAAAGAACTAAGAATCATTTGCTCCAAATTCATGGTGATGGGGTTCAGAACATGATACCCCAAAATACGGCACCTTGGCATGTATTTTAAGGTGAAGAAGCTTAACAAAGAAAAGGTGCAGGAAAGAGTCTCAGGACTCCATCTTTTCCACCACCCCTTCTTGTGACCGGTCCCCTGCCTAATCCCTAAGGAAAGCCTCCTTATCTATTGAGGAGCTTAAAGAAGAACCTGATGAAGGCTTCTGTTTCCCTCAGTTTATTACTCTTAACCCCTGCCCTTTTGTCCTATGACATTTCCCCATCATTTCCTGCCCTTTGTCAAACGTAATATAAGAATTTGCAAGGTAAATAATTTCTTCAGGTCTTCTCTTACTTATGAAGGCTTCCGTGTCATGTAAAACATATTAAATAAATTCATATGCTTTCTCATGTTAATCTGTCTTTGTCACTTTACTTTTCAGCCCATCCAAGTGTCCTAAGAGAGCAGAGGAAAAGTTTTTCTCCCTGATATCAGCTCCTGCTTCCATGCTGAGTTGAGGTTGTTCTAGGGGCGTGGCCCTCCCTGTATACACGAAGGGAAGTCTTGAAATTCCATGCGTGCGGAGTAATCTCTGTGTTTTGCTGATTGTCATTTCTATTATATTTCCAGACCCTTCGGGAGAAGACAGAAGTTCTGAGTCATGTCTAGCATGGTGCCTCATGAGGCTTAAGAAATCTTGTTCGAGATGTTAAAGGGAGATCAACACAGACACTGCCATATCATACTCATACAGTTTAAGTTTGTGGTTCCTTCCTGAGTCCCATGTTCCGAATCACAAATGATGTCTTTGTTCACTCAGGTCCTTTACTGATGCTGTTCATCTCCCATCACATGTACATACATGTCCAAGAAGCTCTTGGAGAGGAGCTACCCTAATAAAAAAAAACACTCTCTTTGAAATGAGTCAGATGTTTCGTAGGAATTTGACTTCTGAATGCTGGTTTCATCTTCTGTGAAATGGAGATGGTAATGCTGTCTTTACAGGTTACTACATGGTCTAGAAGTTGGAGTCCTCTAAGCAGGTAGACTCTTCCCAGTCCTTCACCCTTTCTCTTGGCTGGACTTCATTCACAGTGGTCTGGCTCCCCTGGGTACTTGCTTGTGGCCACACACACAGTGTCTGGCGCGCTGGCCTTTGTGTGCAGTCCCAAATGTGTCCAGCTTAACAGCAACTCTCATTTGTGTTCTGAGGTCAGGCATCGCCAGACCCTGTGTTTTCAATTAGTGTTTTAAGCTGTGTTGCATCAGTATATATAACTTGAAGTTCTCTCTACCAGAGGCTCCAGAAGTAGACCTATAACTTGTCATTCATTCATCAGGTGGAGAGGGAGGTGGGAGGGGGGATCGGGATGGGGAATACATGTAAATCCATGGCTAATTCATGTCAATCAATGACAAAAACCACTACAATATTGTAAAGTAATTAGCCTCCAACTAATAAAAATAAATGGAAAAAAAAAAAAGACTTACAGTTTGCCACCTACTCCTTTCCATTTCAACCCTATTCCACACTGTGCACTTTTTCTTTTTCTCACGTATTCTCAGCATACCATGTAATTTATTAATTTTTATTACTTCTCTCTTCATCATTTTCATTTTTTCCAGCTTTTTAAAATTTTTTTTGTTATGATTTTCTTTTTTTTTATATTCTTTTATTTTATTTTTATTTATTTATTTATTTATTTATTTTATCACAACCATAGTGTATCTTTTTTTTTTTTTTTTTGCATGTATTCCCCATCCCGGTCCCCCCTCCCACCTCCCTCTCCACCCAATCCCTCTGGGTCTTCCCAGTGCACCAGGCCCGAGCACTTCTCTCATGCACCCAACCTGGGCTGGTGTACTGTTTCACCCTAGATAATATACGTATTTCAATGCTGTTCTCTTGAAACATCCCACCCTCGCCTTCTCCCAGAGTCCACAAGTCTGTTCTATACATAGGAGTCTCTTTTTCTGTTTTGCACATAGGGTTATCGTTACCATCTTTCTAAATTCCATATATATGTGTTAGTATACTGTAATGGTCTTTATCTTTCTGGCTTACTTCGCTCTGTATAATGGGCTCCAGTTTCATCCATCTCATTAGAACTGATTCAAATGAATTCTTTTTAATGGCTGAGTAATATTCCATGGTGTATATGTACCACAGCTTCCTCATCCATTCGTCTGCTGATGGGCATCTAGGTTGCTTCCATGTCCTGGCTATTATAAACAGTGCTGCGATGAACATTGGGGTGCACGTGTCTCTTTCAGATCTGGTTTCCTCGGTGTGTATGCCCAGAAGTGGGATTGCTGGGTCATATGGCAGTTCTATTTCCAGCTTTTTAAGAAATCTCCACACTGTTTTCCATAGTGGCTGTACTAATTTGCATTCCCACCAACAGTGTAAGAGGGTTCCCTTTTCTCCACACCCTCTCCAGCATTTATTGCTTGTAGACTTTTG